AGCATAAACTCTACAATCATTTCCAGAATTTTTTCCTACGTGTCCCATATTAATCATCAGTTTTGTATGAAAATATGAAATTGTAAGTTTGAACACTCTGTATTTATAAACCATATAAGTATGAACATATATAATAGGGCACATTTTTAATGCACTGTGCTGCACCCGCAACGCCCGTGGCTGCCATAAAGCGCTTAACATTCGTGTTTATTTAATTTGAAAAATTGAGTTTGGATATTTTGCACCACTAAGCCAACATTTTCATAACAATGGCCGCTTACCGCTATTCCAAAACACACGCACACACCTGGCCGCGGCATACCGTACACGAACCTCTGTATAAAAATATACTTATGTATGTATGTACCATATGTGGAGAACTACATATACTAAACCAAAGAGGCGTTTAGATTTACATACATACATATATATGTACATATGTATAGTAGTGGATACGATCTGTTTGTTTTGCACCTGCGTACATACATATGTTTGTATGTATGGAGATCTACACCTATTTACTGACCAAAAGCTTGCGGTTATTAAAATTTTATTCTAGTCAAGCATTTTTTATTATAGCCGTAAATWGCACAGAACCGTTATAGAAGTTACATACTTATGTGTTGATAGCAGAAAGTGTAGCGACATGTAATGGCGAAAAAACAGCGAAAATTCTGTTGATTGGAAAAATTATGAGATTAGTTCGCGGCAGCCAACTGACCTTGCAACGCTGATCCATTTTAATATGCAATTATTATGGAGATTTTTTATATTCTATGTACTTACATATATACATATACATAAACCAACTCGTATGTGGAAGATTTACATATTTATCGCTTAGTCGTTTAACTGGCAGATTTTTAGTTTAGCGCAGTTTAATTTGAAAAATCAACTGACTTTAAGTATTTAAATATTACCGCTTTTAATTAGCCGCAAATTTTATAATTAATGTTTGCATACATATTTTTTGTGCGTGTTTATTTTATTTGTTTAACTTTGCACTATTTTATGGGAAATTAATGCTAGCAAAGTACTTAATAATGTAATACATATAATTAAATTTTTTGCTGTTCGTGGCAAAATATTTACATAGTTAAGAGGCAAAATCCGCGAAAAATATTTAAATGCAACATCGTATTATACATATATAAAATAGAGCACATACACATACTAGTCTGTTGATAGTTGTGTAAAGCGATGCGTGATTTATTATAACGGTACTGCCGCGAATTTGAACTATTTCACATAATAAATTATAATATTGGTTAGTCGAAAAAGTCTTTTCGTATTTAGTCAATAGACGTCATTGCACTCGTGTATTTCCAGTGCTACCAATCCGATTGTGTCATACCATATGGTCTTGGAAAGGTGATATTTTAAGCTTCGATTAACTAAAATGTTTAAAAAAAAGTTACAGCTGTTCAAAAATGAGTGAAAATARTGAAGAAATTCGCTATATTTTGAAATTATTGTATGAAAAAGGGAAGAATGCCACGCAAKCCACCAATGAAATTGGTAAAGTTTACAGAGACGAACTGTATCAGTTTGCATACCACAACAATAGTTCTTTCGCCTCCGTTCTGAATTGATGCAAGTGATGCACTGAAGGAATAATGTCTCTAGCGGAAAAATGGCAAAAAGTGGTCGACCAAAATGGTACATATGCATTTGTTTATTTATTACAATAAATATAAAAAAAATAAAATTAAATTTGAATAGAAATAAGAAAATACTTTCGACTACCCTATATATGAAAATACCTAGATACGTACATTGTACATATATATAGTTTGTGAAAGCAAAAAAAAAAAAAATGTCGCAAACAACTTTTGCTCAAATTAAATATATATTTTGATGTCTCTCAGAACTCAACTGAGTCTTCTTTGTGGAGGTTTTCTAAGAGCATGCGTTGCAAAAATTCACCACTCTACCATTTCCAAAGCTTAGCTGACTTGAGGGTCCATCGGTGCCCAACATTTATATGAACAAGTGTTTCAGTTTGTGCTTGACTTAATTTTACATRTGTATATATGTATAAATTTGGCAAATACTGCTCAAGTGATTTAATAAAGCTGTATATAGTGTCACATGMACGCCTCAAATTCACAATGTAAAATCATTTAAATTGACAAATGCGAATTGACAGCGTGATTAAGACTTTTGAGAGTCGCTCGTCGAGTTATATAATTTGTGCCTTGAGACTGAGACTGAGAGTGTGGTTGCATACTGCGTACTGTTAAATATTTTTATTTACGTACAACGTAATTGTAATATATCCACCACTATATAGACAACATACACACATACCACCATACTGAAATGAATTCGATCACTTTGATATCATCAAAGGTTGCCAAGGTGTCGACGGTATTCAGTTATATAGATATGCATGGACATGTGTACATGTTGGCACAAGTATGCGCAAGGGTACGCCTGGGAGGTTGCAAATTGTACAATGGATAAGCGAAAAAACTACTGGATTTTACGGTAAATGTCAAGTTTAATTAGTGATTAGAGCACTTTAAAAGAATCGTTATGATTATTAATATTTGTTTTTGCTTTTGTAATAAAATCCTTTTGTTAGCAATAATAAAATGATAGCATACTTTAAATTCCGCTCGTTGATGGCATATTTTATCGAGACTCAGTTGACTTTAKTGTGTTATTTCCATAAAATCACTCAGCTGCACTTTGATTTGGCATTTCCAATAATTTATTTTGTAAACACAAAAATGCAGTTCTGCTGATAGCAACAATAAACAAAAGTGATAACATCAATAACTATCAACAAGTAACATAAAAATAATAGCAGCAACGCGTCTCTTTTATTTTTCAATTAAAAGTTAGAAAAATACCTGCAAGCGTTTTGTTGATTTTATATTATTTTCTTTATTATTTTGAACGTGAACAAGCATTAGGGTGTAAGGGTTGTGCTTGTGCTCGCCGGAAACAGAGAGCGTGGGCCGAGTGGTTGTCCCGACAGATAACAACGAATATGGTAGCAGGTAAAGGCCAAACACAGCTACACTCAATACACCAAACCGTAGCGTACACTACTACAAAGAAACTGTGCCAAAATAGACAATATTGCAATATTGTGTACGTATTAGTAAATAACTGTAGAAACGGTCAATGCGGCTGCAACCACCCATCAACGCTTAAGCGAAGCGAAGCTCCACCCACGCAGCGGTAAACAAGAGTTGGCTTAAGTTCTCTGGCAGCATCTGGTTATGGAGGAAGATACGCCAGCACCAATCGCCACTAACTGACAACTCTACACTCTCATGTATCAATGGATGTATTTGTACTGTATGTGTTCCACCCTTAAGTTATTTACAAGTCCCTGTTTTGTTTAAACAAATACAATGAGAAAATGATTTATTTTTGAAAGGTAAACATGAAGAAAAGTTAATCCAAATTTCTGTGCTTGGAAATTAATTGAATGAGCAAACTTACTCTACATTAAAAGGCCCAGTTAAATGAGGCAAATCGGGCGTAAACTCGTCCCCACGACACCCCCACTACGCGCCCTCSTCGAGTGGGGAGCAGAGTGAATTTTAATTTGCCATTTTCTTGAGCTTTTACTTTACTGCTCAGTTGTTTGCGTTTTTGTGCTTGTTTTTCTTGTGCCACTGCCTCCCGGTTGGCCTCTTGTATCGCTTTTGTGTCTTAATTAAAAGACCAATTTGTAACTTCCGCTTGAACGCTTCTGGAAAACTTCAACGCGGGCTGGCGTACTTGTATTAAGGCAAGCTCTGCGTTGCGCATAGCAACTCATACCCAGGAAGCAGAAAAGTATCCCGCGTAAACGTAAGAACTCAACTCCGCGCGAGAACTAAAGAAKGAGGCGCTTGCAAAAGCCAATGTAAGAAAAATTAATTACAATTATAATAAACCGCCTAATTAGGCGGGAAGCAAATGAAAGTACGTGAGAAGAAGCTCTAAAGAAAGAAAATTGTAATTTAAATATTACAAAAGTATTTCACGCGCGCAGAGCAGCGACGGCGCTGACTGCTCCTGGTGGCAGTGATGGGAAGTAGGAGCAGCAAAAGGTCAAGCTTAGCTGGGCGTAAGCGTGAACTTGGAAATATGTATGCATCCATATACACTCATACATACATATACTTATATATACTTTGTATGAAACGTTGTGCTGTGCGTCGGGGATTCAAAGATAAGGCGACGTGGATGGAAGCCAAAACAGTGTTRGCGGTTCAGCAGGAAATGGAAATACATAAATACAGTAAACCGAGAARAAGAAAATAAAATCTGTGTTGCTTTTAAAAATAATGTTTTTTGTTCAACGCACATTTATGTCATGAATAGAACGCGCGCGTCACGCGGCATTTATACATAACCGCAGAGTTCACGTGATTTTTTTTTCTATTTGCCGTTTCCTTGCTGCTTCCTCCAACATTTGAAGTTTTTTTTATTAAAATTTAATTTGAAAAACGGATGAAAGTGTTTTTGAAGCCATACCGAGCTTTCAGTAGAATCGTTGTAATGTCATAAACAAATGCTGCCGTTATATATAAATATATATTTTTTGTAGATATGTGGATGTAATTCAAATCAAGAAAAGCACAAAAAATAAACTTTTAGTACTCGATTCGAGTATTTGACTTGTAGACAAATGGAATTCTTTTTCCTTTTTCACCGCGCGTTGAATATCTCTTTTAGTTCCGTTAAAGCAGCAGAATTTGCTGTAACTTCCGGAATTTTGGTCTTCTGCTTTATGAAATTCCATATGCTGCGCTTTGYGTGGTCATGCCAATATTACTTTCGTATTTATGYGCTTCAATAAAAGACATTCTTTTCATTCGAGCAGCCAACCAAGTGCAGCCATTGCTTTGGGTGTTGAGGTTTTCGTAAGCAAATTAAAATATTAAAACGTAAATATTACTACCACATAAACAGTTSTATATTCTACTTAAAAATCTGGCGAATGTTTAAAGATGGAACAGTTTTAATAAGTTTTCCTTTTAATTTCTTTCCAGGTATGGTTCAAAAATCGTCGGGCCAAGTGGCGTAAGCAGAAGCGCGAAGAACAGGAGCGCCTGCGTAAGTTGCAGGAGGAGCAGTGCGGCGGCGCCAGCAACACGCCAGCMGGGGCCTCAGTCGCCTCGGGCATTGCCACGGTGAACGCCAACGGCGCGGTAATGGCCGCTGTGGCGAATCTAAAATGTGCCGCCGAGGATTACGCCAGTCAGCTTAGTCACCACATTAAAACCGATCCGAATAGCTATAACAGCGATGCGGATGAGTCATCCGACCTGGAAGTGGCATAAAACTCTGTCCGCCATTTATTTGTACATATGTAGATTTTCACATTAATTTTAAAGTAGTCTGTACCATATAATTTAGTTGATATATACTCGGACCAAAATAGTATTTGTAAAGTTTCAAATTTGTGCATTTAGACGTTCCTACACACCGCTGTATATACTTAGATAAAAGCAAAACTGTACGTGAGTAAGTGGCGCATTTGTTTTTTTCCCGAAAAATCAATTTTATAATATAMATTTTGAATAATTTATAAAACACGTGTGAATGTCCCTCGCTAATTATGTATTTAACTATTGTATATATATGTATGTATGTATGTATGTTTCGGTTGTTATTTTTATCAGTTATTATGTGTTTGTTTGTTATAGCGCCTTAAATTATACTAATAAATTTTGTAATGTAAATTATGTATTCAAATGTGAAAAAGTGTGTTGTTGTGATGACTTTTATTTTTTGTAGTAAAGGAAATTTGTAAAAGTATTTGATTAGTAGATGAAGGTGTGCGTGTTACAATTATTTTCTTAATTTTAAAGTSTTAAGTTAAGTGAACAAATGTCTTAGCCCAAATATGCTTAGTAAATATAAATGGAATCAATAAATCGTTAATTGTAAGCATTCATTAAATACTGTCGAACTTAATAAAAACTAGTATTAATTACAGAAGATTTTGAATTTTAATTATATTTTGCTTGAAGACTCGTGCACCAACACAACCTAAACTGGGAATACTGAATACTAACCAAATCTTCCACTGACTCAAAAAAGAGTTTTATACCTAAAGCTCTTCAGGAGAAAATGGCAAACATTTGTGAATATTTCTGAAACATTTGAGAACATTTCTGAAATATTTGGGAACATTTATGCAACGAAAATCGTCGAAGGTGTTTAAAACTTTTTTCTCTTTATTAATTGATAGTTTCCACGATGGCGCCGGTCCGAGAACTTAGTCGATATCTGCCTAGTTACACTAAATGTCACGCTAAGAACGGATTTTAAGCCAGTGCCGTTGTTGCTTGAATGCCATATTTCTAACACTAATATATTCTGAGCATTGGCATCACGATTTTCTGCCGACTGTTAGCCGCGCTGGCTCACCAGAAAGTTTTCCAACAATGATTTTCTTCTAAATTACGGCTACAGATTTGGGGCGTAAGGTAGAAAAAACTATCTCTGTGGATGGTTGGAAAATATTTTCTGGGGCATTTAATCGAACTTCTCATTTGTTAAAAAATAGGAGAGCAGTTGAGTTTAATTTTAAGGACTAATTCAATAAGATGTGATAGGGAAATTTAAAAAAATAACATGCTGCTCGTTGCTTTGCTGCTTTTTTGAGTTATTTACAATATTAAGTGAATGAAAGTGTTCAAAGAATAAATTGCAAAAAATGTAAAATTTAAAGATTGGACATTGGGACCAACAACAATGGTGTGTTGACACCAGAAATAAATTTGTTGTAGCTACTGAAGAGAAGCAACCATTTTACGGCAGTTGAACTGTCCTTTAACGTTTGTTGTCTTACCTTTACATTGTCACTGGCCACTCCAATGGGTTGAATGTTGATCTCATATCCTTTTTACTATTGGAAATTTTATAACTAACAATCTGCATTCGACTTGATTGTCAAAGGATGACCAACACATTGATGCATTTATACAATGACATTCAGTGCTGCTGCTGATTTCTCTGGCATGTGATGCATCCTTACAAATATCAATTGTCCGATTTTATTAACAATTTKCAATGCTCACAAACACATAAACAGATATTTTAACATTACGCTTAAGGAGTAACCATATAATGCATTTCAATCAAAAAGGGTACAATGTATGCCTTATGTTGCCTGCGATACGTATATGAGTAAATGATCGAGGTGTGTTCAAAACTAACACAAACTTTAAATTTAGGATTTTTCTGATCCGAGGGGTCCATTTGTCAATTCTTCTATGTTTTATTATGATGATATACATGCCACCGAAGTACYATCCAATTTTAAGCGATATTCACTACTTACCATACTTTGTTTCTAGCAGCCGCTAAGTTAAACCTGTTTTTAAGAGCTTACGATTTGCGTTTGTTAAAAGAAATGTGYCAAAGTTCGTGAATTTTGGCAAAAAACAATACTGTAAGGATGCCCCAGCCACCATATTCGCCAGACCTGGCTCCGTGTGTCTTTTKCATATTAAAGAGAACTTTAAAGTGTCGTTTTACAAGCTTAGGTGACAATAAAGGGGAACCCTGAAAGAGCTAAAGGCTATCGCAAAAATCAAGTTTGAGAAGTGTTTCGGACGAAACGCTGACAAAAGTGCATCATAATATCGAATTGGGAATACTTTGAAAGCGACAACCTTAAGGTAGAAAAAATAAAAATAAACGAAAATTCCTGTAGTTTTTAGAGCACACCTCGTATACAAACATTCGCATATTCAGAGCAATACTTATGGTAGATATTAGGGTCGGATCCATGGGTTGAAACGACAGGAGAATAGCCCCCAAACAGTTGAAAGTTATACATTATTTCCATCGAGTCACAAAGAATCATCATGGAACCAGGAACCAGAAGAATTATATAGTTCTCTCCGTAAAATTCTACTCTGGATTCGCCCCTGGGAGATAGATAACTGAAAGGACAATGAGCCGTTCAAATTGGTAAGCATTGAAAGCAAGAAATCATTTGAAAACCAAGGAAATCAGCAACTTTTAGGAAAATATCTGAAGGTGAAGGTTTTTATGTTYAATAAAATAAAAATTCAGTGGAARYCAAGGTAAAAGGATGTTTCAACTCAGTATCAAAACTTAAAATTATTRTCGTCCAGAATGAAACGGAGTTTCTTGAATTTAAATAAAAATGTTTCGAAACAATGGAATAATTTTTTAAAGAAATTTTATATATTTCCTACTTCGAACGAAACGGTACSGAAAACATTTAAAAACAAAGTTATAAAGTAAGCACTGTATATCATTCATTCATTACTTAAGATTTGCTTTTTTGGTGATATCGGCGAATGAAAGAGATTGACAACAAGACAGCTGTCTTTATGCAAACAAACGCATGTCAATGCGCTGAAGTGTTCGCTTCAGTTGCCATACTGCATCTTATTACTGAGAAGTAATTGCAAGGCWGTCCTGGTGATCTAAAAAATATCAAGAACATGTTCTCCACTTCGCTCCATGATTTTTTCCCGGTCGAAGATCTTGGGTCGCATTTGCATTTGCATTTGCATTTGCTTTTTGGTAATGTTTACATGGCTTCCTATCGAATTTCCGTGTTGTTTGCCTATCTATTTGACAATTCTTTCTTTGTTTGGGTTTTCGCTTCCGAATGGCTTGTTGGCCAAATAAACCGCAATGCATTGAGGGGAGCCACGCACAGTGACAATGAATGCCGAAGTCGAGTCGATGCCYATTGGATGGTTGAACGGAAGGAAGGCCGAATATATCGGCAAGGGTGCCTGCTGGCAGTACTTCGGTGGTGGTAAAACATTCCTTTCACATTTCGAATTTCTCATTGTCGCTTTTGCTCCGCTCCCGTAGTTCCTGGTCGTGTTATTGTTGTCATGCATTTAATTGTGTGCGTTGGCTATTTGTCAACGTTAATAGTTCATGTAAAAATTTACAAATATTTGCAATCTATTAAAAGTTGATTTTTATGTAATTTGTCGATTTTTTCGACGTTGAGGGAGGCCTTTGTTGAAATTTAATATGTGCGTGCTTTTGTGTGTGTGTTTGTGCGTGTGWATACATTATTAAGCCAGGTAYATGGATTATTGTGGCCAAAGGTGCGTTTTCAACTGCAATTTTTTCATTTAAGCGATTTTTATGTATTTTTAATTAAACCCTTTTTCACATGATCGACAGCAGTATATACACACATATACACGGCTACATATATATGTGTTTGTGTGTGGCAATGTGAATACTACCAACGACACCATGCATTTATATTTTTTAATTAGCGCGCTTAAATGTGGCAAAAAATTATTGAACAAACACAAATATGAATATTTCGTTAATTGCATCTTTCGCTTGAACACCTTTTGGTTGAGCCAAAGGATTCGCGAGTGTCCGCGCTGGCGAATGTGGAGCCAACTGCTCTGCTGGGCCATGGCGTGCATATGTGCGAATGTGGATTGTTTTCACAAAAGTCACTTAAAATCATATATTTTCGTATATAGCATGCCGGTACGCATGTACATATGTGGTTGCATATCCACGCTACGTACACATGTACTGTATGTGCATACAAAGTTCACATGTATTGAAATGAGGTTTTTTCTCGGCGAGTTCGAATACATTTGGAAATGCTACACGCACATGTCGGTGAGTGCATACTTTTTCATTTCATATGGTGTATTTAATATTTGCAATTCATTTTTCGCCTTTGATGGCTTTATTTATTGCGCGAAAAATGCAAATAACCCATTCGGAAAAAAAATCACGACCGTTCTGTTGCGCTGAAATCCACATATACTCTATATATGCACGCAAGGTCTACTACTATGAGCGAAAAATAGTAAGACTTATTTATTCTTTCAAATCTATGTGTCTCTCTCGAAATAATACCCTTTCGCTCCAATACACTTGTGCCAACGTTTTTTTTACGTATAATGCTCAAATAATATTCCTTGTTGACAGTTTGGCCGGTCGGAAAGAATTTGRAGTGCACGTATATCTCGATAATCAAAGAAAATTATCAGAGGTAAACGCATGGCTGTTTTTCGCAAAAATTTAGTGATTTTAGTACCAATAGTGCTCTCACTTTTCTTAGCCCCAAATGATCTTTCAAAATAGGTTTCACTGATCCTAATGATATTGCTACGATGCCAATGAGATCGCTGCTAATCGTCGATTATSAAGCATCAATTCCTATATTTTATTGACGTGTGGATCATCAGTGATGTCGATGGCCGTCTTGGACGAATTTGAATTTAAAAGTCTTACTATTTTTTGATTTAAGGAAGCGTTAAACCTGTGCTTAACCAATCATTTTGTGAGCTTTTGAAAAATAAAATTGTGAAATGGGTGTAATTTTTGTCCATTAGAAGATGAACCAGTACATAGAAAATTAATAATTCTGGGCGATTAAAATTAAGGCCTCCAACATTTTCAACACTTTCATTTCAATATCAGATTTTTAGTTGAGTTCAACAATCATAAATGGTGGAGACGTCTATCTGAAGGTAATGCTTCTTCTACCACTGACTTTTCTTTACTTCTAACTACATATATAAAAATAAGCTCC